TGCACTGCCACAAGTTCCCCCTGGACAACGACCTCTGCATCGCTGTGCAGTTCGGGCACCTGCCCGCCACCGCGCCTCCAGGTAGCGCCGCCCCCGCCGCCCCCGCGCGCTCTGATGGCCCTGTGTGCTGGAGAGATGGGCCCCGGACAGATGCCGCTCCCCCATCCCCTTAGCACAGCTCTGCGAGCCCCCCATAGGTGTCAACCCCTCTACACACACACAGACACACACCCCTATTCGTTTAGCCTTGAGCACCCCGGGGATTGTCTCCCACAGCCGGGATTCCGTCTTCCCACCAACGCGTGGACTGCCAAAGCAGAGCCTCCCTGCGGCTCTGGACCTTCCCACTGGTTCTCCCCACCTCAGCTGCCTGAAAACCCTCCAGGCTTCTCTCCCGGCACCCACCTTCCCAAAAGATGGAACCCCTGGGGTGACCCCAATACAGTCCCCTCATCCTAGGGCATCCTGATAAATGCCTTATTGCCTCTCTCAGGCAATAATGTTGGGGGTTGATAAACCATGCCTTTTACCTCCTCCACAAACCTGGACTCCAAGGCATCCAGACAAGGATTCCCACCCAGTTTGGGGGACTTGGGAGGGAGGAGGGCTAAGGGGAGGAATGTAGTGGAAGACTGGGGACTAAGTGCACACCGGGGCTGATTCCATCTCCCCATTTTCTCTCCCTAACTTTCCCCACTCTCTTCCTCAGCCCCCGGGCTGCGAGACCTTGGGCAAGGCTCAGTGCAGAAGAAAGAGCAGATAGTCAGGCTCTGCCCCTTCAGCAGCAGTTTCCCCATCTGTAAAACAGAAAGAGACCCAGGGTCCTGAAACCTCTGACATCGTAGGTGTGGCCTCCCACATCCCATTACCCCTAATACCTCCCTGGCCTCCGCCTCCCCTTCACTGTGCACCCCCTTCACCCTCCCCCGTCTGCCCAACTCCTTCCCAACAGAGTAACCCTGAGCCAGCACCAGACAAGAGGATAAACCCGGCAGTGAGCAGGAAAGCTTTGCCTCGGCTGTTAACCCGAGAGCCTGAGGAGCCCCGGACACTGGGACCTCCCCAAGGGCAGCACAGCTCTCCTTTCTTCCTATCGACCTGGCCCCAAAAAACAACTGTACCTCAGCGTGCCCTACCCACCCCAGGGCTAACCTCACCAGCCAAGCCCCGCGCCCGACACATCAGGCCCTCTCCTGGGAGTCACGGCTGGGTGGGGGCCCAGTGACTGAACCCCCTCCTCGGGTTGAGAATGGGACAGGGAGGCAGGGGAGAAGGAGGCAGCTCCAGGAGAGACGGCTTAGTCCCCGGCAGGGAGCACAACCATTTACAGTCTGGAAGCCAGGAATCCCACCTGGCCCTCCCCTGCACTCCGCCCTGTCTGAGCCCCTCTTACCCCCATGTTGGGGGGCCCACCTGGAGACAGAGACATAGGGGAACAGAGGCCAGGTGCTGTGCAGTGGCCTCAGGACCAGCAGCCTGAGTTTAACAGATAAAACTCATTATTTTGTATAAAAATTAAGACTTTTGGCTTTCTTTGAAAAGTCAGAAATCGTGGCAGTGCTAAGGGGGGGGTGCTCCTCTTCATAGTCCTTGCCCTGCCAACGACACCTGTCTACCCACACGCCTGGACCCTGTGTTCCTAGGAAGACCCCCATGAACACCCCTCACCCCAGCTCTAGCCTGGGAGCCACAAACCCTGAGTCCTAAGCTCGGTCCTCACATCTTTGCAGACTTGGGTAGCCACTCTGAGCCTCAGTTTCCTTGTCTTTACAATAAAGAAACACCTACTTCTGAAGATTAAATGAAACAGCTGCAGCTGCCAGGGTCATGGGCAGTCATGCCCACCTGGGCAGTTTTGTCCCTGCACAACCTGTCTCGCTCCCGTTCACAACTACTCAGTGAGCAGGTGGTGTTCTCACTTCTACCATCCCATTTCCTGGTAAGAAATGGAGGCTGGACAGGGGGAGGTGGCTCGTCCGTGGGCAAGCCTGCACCCTAAGTGGCTCTTTGGACTCTGGTCCCCACACCAGCCTCGCTCGACCCCACCCTTGCTTCTCTCTTCAGTGACCAAGATCTGCGCCCAGTGTGAGATGGAGCACAACGCGGACGGCCTCATGGAGCAGATGTGCTCCAGTGACTTCGGTGAGTGTGGAGCCCACGCAGCCACCCCAGCCCCTCCTCCTTGACACGCACACATATGAACACATGTCCACGCCCATCACTGTGAACCCTAAGTTTTTTGCCTTATGGACCCCGTTTAGACTGATTATAATGATGAACCCTCTCCCCAGAGAAATGCCCCTTTTTTAGTATCATCTCAGGGGCTTCTGGCCATGGTCCTCAGGCCCCAGAAGCCATCCCTGGCCAGGGCTCCTGCAGCCCTCGCTTGGCACCATCCACAGAGGGGCGTCCAGGGCTGGGTTCTCTGTGTGGGGAGCAGGCTTAGCCCTGAGGTGGATGGGGGCAGCAGGTGGGAGAAATGGGCTCCGGAACGGAAGTGCAGCCCCCTTGTCCCGGGGTCCTCTTCTGAGGACCCGATGTACTCTGGCCAGGGGCGCTGTGGTCACCTGCCCCACAGCTTCATCCTGGAGCCTCCCCACTCCTGGGCAGCTGAGTCAAGTCCAGTCAGGCCCTGGCTCCTGCATGGACCACACAGTCCGGCTTGTGATCTTTGCCAAGTCGGCTCCTGTTTTGTGTCTTGGCCTCCCTGTCCATGAGAGAGAGAGAGAGAGAGAGAGAGAGAGAGAGAGAGAGAGAGAGAGGGGGGGAGAGAGAGAGAGAGGAGAGGGGGGGAATGAAATCCTTATGTCAGCAGGTCTCTCATGTTGCTAGTCTGTTTGGAAAGAGAATATCACTATTCTATCTCAAGGTGTGTATGTGTGTGTTCAAGAGAGAAAATGAGGAGGTGAGGGAGAGGGAGGAAGAGAAGTGAAGAGATTTTGTAACAATTTCCTTCTCTGGGTGGAAAAGTAGTTCTCTGGCTTCTCCCTGGATGCTCAGAGAGGGGGCCCAGAGGCCTGAAGAAGGGAGGGGAGACTAGCCCAAGTGACCCTACCCAAGCTCAGGACTCCTTATTCCCAACTGTCAGGCTCTCTGTGGTCACCTTGGAGTGTCCTGGACACTCTCTGACCACTTCTTCTTCTACCACATCCCTCCAGCGCCCCCCACACTCTCACATTCCCACACACCACACCCAACTCTCATATACACAAAGCACACAGCACCACACATACACACTCCCACCCACACTACACAGTCTCACGCAGGTTACAGCGGTGTGTTCACACCAGCAAGAGCTGGTTGTGTGCCGCGCTTCCCAGCCTTGTACTCAGTGATGCGGTGCATCATAGAGGGGTATTTACCCCACGGAAACCGGCGAAGGATACAGGGCAGGCCCCTCCCAGAGCCAGCTGTCAAACACTTAGCAGCCCACATTCACGCCATGTGGACTCAAACACACTCACACTGACTCATACCCACCACATACACTCCACACCACACACACACACACACACACACACACACACACAGAACCAGAAATCCCATTCAGAAACATCCCCAGAGAACATGAAGTCCAGCCTCCCTCCATCTCAAGGACCCCTCCCCACCAAGCCCTCCAATTGGTCACCACACCTCCAATATTTCCCTCCCTGGACAGCCCAACCCCGCGCCCCAGCGAGAGCTCACTGTGCACTTCGTATTGGAAAAGGTGTGGGTTCTGGGTCGACCAGACCTCCCTCGATCCAGGCTCTAGAATCAGGGCAGCTTACAACCTCTGCAAATCTTATTTCTACCCACTACCCACACCTCCAGGATTCAATGTGATAATGTCCGTGAAAGTCCAACACATGATAGGAGCTTCATAAACATGAAAATGTGTGTGTATTGCTCCACCCTGAAGCCTCAGGCACGAGCACCAGCAGTGGGGCCACCAGCATCCTGAGCAAACCTGACCATTCTCATGCTGTCCTCTGTCCACCCCCATACACAGTGGTCAAAATGCGCATCAAGGAGATCAAGATAGAGAACGGGGACCGGAAGCTGATCGGAGCCCAGAAAAAGAAGAAGCTGCTCAAGCCGGGCCCCCTGAAGCGCAAGGACACCAAGCGGCTGGTCCTGCACATGAAGAATGGTGCGGGCTGCCCCTGCCCACAGCTGGATAGCCTGGCCGGCAGCTTCCTGGTCATGGGCCGCAAGGTGGACGGACAGCTGCTGCTCATGGCCGTCTACCGCTGGGACAAGAAGAATAAGGAGATGAAGTTCGCTGTCAAATTCATGTTCTCCTACCCCTGCTCCCTCTACTACCCCTTCTTCTACGGGGCTGCTGAGCCCCACTGAAGGGGCCCTTGCAGCTGTGCCTTGCCCCGTCCCTGCCCTGCATTGTCACCTCCTGCCCCGAGTGCCAGCACAGGCCCTGAGGGATGGGCATGGAGCCCAAGCTGTCCTTGACTGAGGGCTTTTGGGGTATCTGGGAGCTTCCTCTCTTAAACATAAGGCTTTTTCTTTTGAGGGGAAATCCCCAGGGTCTCAAAAAGTAGGCAGGGATGAGAGACAGAGGGAAGGGTAGAGGGGCTATGCGCAGCCGAGGCGGTTTCTGGAGGGGACCATGGTGCAGCTCCCCTCTGCTGGGGGGGGGTGCTCGCTTTGGAGAGGGGAGTCTGGATATGAGGCTGAACTACTTGGAGGAAGTTCTCCACCCTCACTGCCCCTCCATGTGTCCTCTCGTAGCCCCCAAAGGCACTAGGGTCACAGTGCCCTCCAGCCACACCTCCCTACTGTCCCCATCTCTGCCAGGTCCCTTCCCCTTAGACTGGAGAGAAGCCCAGCCTAGATCCCCTCCCATAAGCTCGCTTCTTGGGGTTCATTCCTCAGCCCCTGCATGTCCCCTTTACCTTGACGAGTAACTTATTGCTACTGCTGTGAGGCCACAGGTACTAGACTGATGCAGGTAGGGTTTGGTGTTTAATGGTTTGTTTTTTTTAAGTTTTTAATTAAATCAAAGAAAACAACAGTTGGTTTTGACCAGGTGGTTTCTCTGTCAGGCGGTTTCCCAGAGCTAGGGAGAGGGAGGTTCAGAAGGGACTTTTAGAAAGAGGCCCTTGTCATAGCCCACGGCCTGTCCACACAGACATACTCAGAATGCCTGAGAGCAGTGTCCATGCTTGTGCAGGATCCCCCAAGAGCACACAAGGGTCACCCCAATCATCCCCACCAATGAGGGACAGAGCTGGCCATCTTTTGTCTCTGAGGTCAGCCAAGTTCCCCAGCCTCCTCCCACGGTCAGAAGGCTCCCACAGTCCTGAACAGTCTCCCTCCCTCGGGCAAAGCCTGCTCCGAGGAGCCAAGAGGCTGGGCCACGGAGCTACTTGGAGGAGCCAGAGGCCTGAACGTGCTGCTCCTACACTCTCTGCACACAGACCACTGCACACTGGTCCTGACGTGGAGGAGATGAGGGTGCAGAATGGTGGTCTCTCGGTGTGGTCCCTGGACCAGAGCATCAGCATGAAGTAGACGCTCAGGCCCCACTTCCCACAAAACACTGGACCTCACTCTAAAGCAATTATTTCCAAATCTCTGGAGGCTGTTCAGAAATCAGCATTTCTCCATGCTCGCTGGGGTGGTTTGCAGCCCAGGTGAGACCCTCCGTCTAGGTATCCAGATAAGCCCACAGCTGAGGCAGGAGGAGGGCAGTGGGCCTGCATGCATGGAGGGGACCAGCTAGGATGCCCGAGGGGCTTCTTCAGTGAGCCCGGTGCAGATGGAGGCTGCTCCCTGAGGGGCAGGGAGGGGACAAGCCTTGAAGTGGAGGCAACAGGCTATTGCCAGTCAAATGTCCAGCATTTGGAAGAGGTGGTGCCCAGAGAGTCCCTAGGGGCATCCACCAGCAGAGACTGAGGGGCAGGGCAGATGTGCCCAGAGCAGGGAGCGGGGGGACACCCCCAGAGGGGCTCCCCTCATCAGTGAAGGTACAGCTGGAATGCCGAGCTCAGTCACGGCCCGCTGCTCCTCCAAGACAACGAGCCATGTTCTCCCAAGATGAGACCAACCTTGGCTCCCTCGGCTCTCAGAGACCTGAGGAGGCCGGAGGGCCCGCCTTCTGCTGTGGGCAGTGCGAGCTAACAGGTGGTCTGACAGCCTGCCCATAAATCAGCTCCGGCCATCAGGTGGCCTCCCCGCAGGTCAGGAGCAGCAGAGGCCGCTTGTTTCTCCTCACCTCCACCACCACCCACCCTCGCCCCAGCCCCGCCGGGCCCACCTGGCTCCCTGAATCCGCCCCTTGTCTCCCAGCCTCCTACCCTGACCAAATGTTTACGGACACTTCCATGGTCAACCAAGACCAGGGATGATTTTTCCACTGAACCTATAGGACTGGGCCTCTTCTGGCTGGAGCACAATACTGACCTCTGTCAGGTGCTGGCAGCCACGAGGGAGCAGGCAGGGAGAGCTCCCTTGGCCCAGCCCAGCAAAGCCCTTCTCACCCAACCCCCACAAAGGGGTCAGGCCTGCTCTACACGCCAGTTCTGTCCCCTGGCAGTATCTTCCCTGGGACCAAGAAAGATCCTCCCAGAGACCAGGGAGGCCCTGGAGCCCACCCTTCATTTCCTCAGGCACGACGCTCCCTCCTGGTGGCCCCCTCCTGGCTGGTCTGAAGTCAGCTGGTGTGCCAGCAAGCATCTGGGCTGTGTACCATGAAGAGTTGCATCTGACTGTGTGGAACAGCAACGCCAAGAAACGGGGGCTTCTGCACACTAGAGCTCTGGAGACAAGCAGGGAAGGGTCCATGTCCCAGACTGTCTTCCTGTTCTGCCCAAGGGTGGCTTTGGTGCTCACGGTTACAAAATGGTGCCTCCTCCCAACTTCTCGGCCACACTCGGGCAGCAAGGTGGGGAAGTGCTAATAGCAAAAGCAGCGTGTCAGCTGTCTCGGCCCTTTTGATCAGGGAAACAGTAATTTCCCAACACATCCCACATGGTAGATTTCCACTTCTAGCTCACCAGCCAGAAGTCACATGGCCCCCTAGTTTAAAGGGAGCAGAGAAGTCAAGTGTTTCAGCTGGGCACACTCAGAGTTCTGAGAGAGAGCAGGAAGGATGGGGCTAAACACTCAAAATCAGGTGAGAAGAGGTAGCAAAGCCCAGTTCTGGTGTCCAATCCTGTGACTTAGTGACTGTGTGACACTGAGAACATGGCCCAGCTGTAAAATAGAGTCATCATGTCTATTTCACAAGGTAGCTGAGTGTTAAGTGGAAAATTGTATGAAAAGTACCTGGAGCCCAGCGGTGTGGCTCAGTGGTTGGTCATAGACCTATGAACCAGGAGATCATGGTTCAATTCCTGGTCAGGGTACATGCCCAGGTTGTGGGCTTGATCTCCAGTGGGGGGCATACAGGAGGCAGTCGATCAATGATTCTCTCTCATCACTGATGTTTCTCTCTCCTTCTCCCTTCCTCTCTGAAATCAATAAAAATATATTTAAAGAAAAGAGTACATGGAAACAATGCCCAGCACTTAGAAGATGTTCATTAAATGGCAGGTAGTTTTTTACCACAGGTCTGCACATGATATGTGCTCAATAAATCCCTAATTGACTTATTAATCAACTAAGAAATCACTACAGAAAGGAAGGCAGGGAAAAGACAGGAAGAGCTTATCTAAAAGCCAGAACTGTCGCTTTCAGAAGGGGAGTGGAAGCTACATTTGGACTTCTGCTTCAGGAAAAATATCCCCAATATAGGGGAGAGACATATAATACCAGTAATCAATAAGTGTCAAGCCTATGCTGGGTGGCAGGCACTACTTAAAGCATCTTAACATTCTAATGTAAGCTTCCCAACAGCCCTTTGAGGTAGGTACTATTATTATCCCCATTTTAATAAGGTGGCTCAGAGAGGTTAAGGAATTTGTTGAAGGTCACACAGCTTGTACATGGTGGTAGTGCTAGGATTTGAGCCAAGGACAGGCCAGAGGGATACAGGCAGCCAGGCTTCTGCCACCCCACCCCACCCCCCGCTTCATAGGATGATAACTGGGAGCCCTGCTCCAATCCCACTCCAAGAGCCCTGACAGCAGCAGAGGAGCCAGCCTCAGACTGTGGCTTTTCTCGGGACTCCCAGAGCAGCCCACCATGACCCCCACTCCCTTCTCAGCCCCGTCAGCATTCAGCCTCCTGGGTCCCACAAAGGAAGCTCACATCCCACAACTGTTTAGTCGGCTGTAATCCTAGCTAAAGTTCACTCCTTGGGAAATACAACGTGGGGGGTGGTTGCTCCTGGAATGTGTGTGGCTGAGACCCAGTGTCCCAACCCAGACAGCAGGCTCTACTGGGGCCCTGAAGAGAGCAGCAGCCAGGGGAATCCGGAGTCCCCAGCCCCCAGTTGTGCCAGAGAATGGAATGTGCTGCTCTGGGTGTTAAAACAGACCCAGCCAAGGAAGGGGGGCCTGGGAGTTGGCAGAGTGGGGAGAGCTCTACCACAAGGCTGCCTCTGTTCCCCTGGAGGCTGAGCCCACTCATTAGGGCTGGGGGTGGGCAGGCCCCTCCTGTTAGCTCAGTGCTCAGAAGCTCCTAGAGCTAGAGGGGCAGGCAGAACAGGGGAGGCTGACAGTCAGGGCAGCTGTTCCCCAAAGTTTCTCTTATGAGGCATCTATTGGTACCTCTGGCACAATTCACATCCCGGCCCAGTGGCTTCCTAGCTATGTGACCTGGGGCAGGTTACTTAACTTCCTCAGGGCCTCCATTTACCCATCAGTTACATGGAATAAATAACAGAACTACTTTGGGGACTTTCATAACATTTACATGATAATATGCTCAGCATGTTGCCCGGCACAAGTGCTCAATGAACATAGGTATTATCGTTATCTTAGGGCCACCTGCATTAGGATAGATGCTGGAGCCAGGGCCCCTCAAAGGGGTTGCCTCCTTGAAGGTTCCATGGAGACAAGGGAATGACAGTGGAGCTTCGTTTGGCTTCAGTATCGAAGGTGATCAAGGACCACAAAGATCCTAGAAAGCATGGCCAGTACCAGGTCTCCCAGGGCCACTAGAGCCTGCTTCCCACCATTACCAACCCCAAAAAGATGGGCAGAACCTTCCAACCCAGCCAGGCGGTGGGAGCTGGCAGCCCATCGCAGGTCTGCCCAGCAGGCACCAGGGCTGTAGCGGAACCCGGCTCCTGTCCCCTCCTCCTGGGTGCTCAAGAACTGGAAGGAATCTTTTAAACAGGCAGCCAGCTCTGCAATGGACAGTCTGTCTTCCAGGCCACCCCACGTTCAGCCCTCTCCATGCTGTTGACCCCAGCCAAGAATGTAAGGCACAATGCAGCCCTGATAAATCCCTCCGTGGTTTCACAGTTCCTGTCCTTTAAAGCCGTCCATCCCCGGCCTGCTTCACGGAGGCCCTCACATACACCACCGGTAAAACAAGGAGGTGGCCCTAACTTCCCTTCTGTGGGGCTACAGACCTCAGATGAGGGGAACCATGTTTGTCCTGTATCCCATGCCCCGCAAGCTACTGGGCTACAGTCTGCATTTCACCAACATTCGGCACTGTCTTCCTTTTCCCAAAATAAAATTATATTGACCCGGCTTATTCCAACTACACTCTGGCCACTCTCTGAGATTCTTTCCTGAATAACAATC